CCCTGCAAATAAAAATAATACGAATACAATATTCTCCATATCTGCAAAAATATCTTCAATATTGGTTTCAATAAAACCTTGTTCAGACCTGGTTAAATTGGTCAGTAGGTGAGTAACCAGGCGGTGGATCAGCCTCATCCTCCTACAACTTTTTTGCCGATCGCATCACTAATAGTCAGTATAATTAGTTTCAAAAATTAACACTCAATACTTGTATTAATTGAATCAAAAATTACACACTTTTGTCAGCTCAAGTGTTTAACAATAATCTCACGGATTAAACCAAAAAAAAAGCCTATGAAGAATTTAATTCAATCGTTGTTTTTACCGATCTAGATTTGTTGATGTTGATAATTTATCTAGATTTTTTACATTTTGATTAATTAAATGTGGTGGATTAAATGATAATGATACCGATGAATCACTTGTATTAAATTTACTTTTTCCTGTTTTAACATTAGTACTATGAAATTTAATTGAGAAGAATTTTTTCGAACGTTGATATTGTGGTCGACGAAATATATTAGATTTTCGATTGTAAGCTGTTGTATTAGATTTACGACGAAGAATAAACCAAATAATAACAGAAATTATTGCAATTATTAATATAAGACCTACAGCACTACAAATCGTAACAACAATTATTTTGTCAAGTCCATCCATGTGATATAAAAATCTAAAACTAGATAGTAAGACAAATAATAGAATATTATATTTATGTATTTCTCTTGTTAAGCTGAACAACAATAAAAAAATTATTACAATAAGAAAGAAAGAGAAAAAAAGAAATGATTTGAACTCAGTATGTCGTTATAATAAATTTTCTCTCTTCTATACATATAGACACATTCTCATGTGCATTTATAATAAACTCCTGTATTGTTAAGTGTAAGAAGGAAAAGAAGAGATTATTCTTTTATTTAATACTATTGTATAATGAATAAAAGAAAGTATAACAATAATTTCTTTTTTGTAATTATATTTAAATGAGTTAATATAATCTAATGAATTTAAAAGTCATAATTAGATATTCTTACTTTGTCCTTAGTTGTCTCCAGGAAACAATTTCATTATTTACATTCACCACTTATATGGATTTATCGGAGCAATTTGTTCATTTATTTTCTTAATTCTTTGTTCTTTTTTTAAGTGAAAAAATAACAATACTATTGAAAGTAAACAATAAAAAGGTACTGCTCACATAATTTCATCAACATCTTATGTAAAAATTCATTGAAGGTTAAAAGAATATAGAAATCAAATAAAATTGAAGAGAAGAAAAAAAGAAGAAGAAGAAGAAGAAGAAGAGAAAATCATTTATTTTATTTTATCAAATAATAAAGATAAAACCCCTGGATATGTATTATAATTTAATAGAAAGAAAAGAAACTTTATGTTTTTGTTAGTTTTTATATTCGAGTAAAATAATTTCAAGTATCAATAAAAATGTTTTCTTCATATGAATAATTTTGTGTATATTTAATTATACAGTAAAAATAGTCTCGAACAAAACTAAGTTTATTGTAAACACGTACCTATCCAAACAATAAATCACATCGACATAATTATTATGGCAAAATAAATTTCCTGGCTATTCCGCATTTGATAATTACTCTTTAAGTATATGTTAATGATATAACTACATGGAAACGGAAATCAGAAATAGACTAAACAAGGTATTTATTATTACTCCGAACTGTGATAATACGCTAAATAGAAACAAAACGTTCCCGAGATCTCGTTCTACAATCTATGTAGAAAACATGAATCCTATCTGGTCTTCAAGGTTCACGCAACTTATCAATATAACAATCACTTTAATTCATTATCAAAAAATTTAGAATCAATTCAAGCTTTTTATGAGATATTGTAGGATCCACTTTATCTTCCTTGGAT